GGACCAATCAACACAGCCATTACAAAGCCTATGTGCATCAGCCACCGCCAACCCTTTTGGAGTATGCAATTTCAAAAATTCTGGGAAACAAATTCTGTAATCTATCCTCACCAGCCCACCTATCTTGCCAAAATCTGATTTTGTCCCCTTCACCCAATTGCCATTTGGTGCAGGAAAGAAAACTTGGCCACTGTTTCATAATATTCTTCCACAACCCACGCCCATGGGTACCTCAGATATATAGGGAAATAATAGATCATATATTTGACATTATTGAGCTAGGGTACCTCAGATTATCTATCATCTTTTGAGATGACAATAAAGAAATCATATAATCATCTGAATTTAAATTTCCTCCAGGTCCCACTAATGGAAAGAATCTGGTATATGCCAGGCCTAAAATTGGGTGGTCACTCATTGATGGTCAACGAAAAATATGCTAAGGCTGTGTTTGGTTAAACATGCTAGATCGTATAATAGAAACAAAAGTAGAAATGGATGAAGTTGGAATAGAAAGTCAAGTTTGTGAATTTTTGTTTCTACTTTGCGAAGTGGAAAATCTATCTACATGAAATTTGGTACAGGATTAGAATTGATTCAATTGTTAATCGAACACACAATGACACAAAATTGGGATCATGATTCAATTTCAGAGACCAAATATATTGTAATAACTATGATAAAATGAAAGAGACGGGATTGAACTAAACATAGCCTCAATGTCTTGCCATTTTCTACCTATCATTGCAAACACATCTTAGAGTTGATTATGTCAAGACTGGTGCCATATCCTGATGACAAGCTTGTGATACCTCCCAGCAAAGATGCTGTGTTTATGGAAAAGTGAAATTTGCTCTGCTTTTGTTAATTGTTTTAAGGTCGCTTGATGTTTTATCTGCATCAGGCAGTTAATTTCCTTTAGGACGCAATTAAGAAATAGTTTCGAAGAGGAACAATATACATATGTTTGTTTTAGGATGAACTGAATAATGACATATTGGATTATGCTTTTGAGTTGATGATTAAGCAGGGATTCAGTGGAATCAACATGATTTCTCAGTCTTCTTTGTAAATTCAAATATTTTTACCATCTAGGTTATTTATCTTTAAGCTCAAATGGTATTTGCTGTGGACTTCGTGCTCATCTTGCCTAAAAATGTGGATGTACAGGAAAGCTGAAAGTTTTGGACAGTGAATGGATCCAAGTTATATTTGAGCCACCTGTATTGAAGATAGGAGGAATGAAGTTCAAATATGGCTTTGAGAGTGAGGTTAAGCTGCAGATCTCATATATAGATGAAAAGATCAGGTTGGGAAAAGGTTCAAAAGGATCACTATTTGTGTTCCAAAGACGCCAATAAGATCAGCATAGTCCTTCATGTTCCTCTTTCGTGTGGCACTAATAATTTTGTTGTACAAGATTTAAGTATTTATTTGTGTAAATCTCCCGTGTCACCTCACTTTCTGGTGTGTGAGGCCAAAAGCATATCTCACTTGTTGCATTTAACTGATCCTCATTTGACAATGCCGAGCAATCATTCTGATCCAGCCCTACCAATCCTGTGTACTTGATTAATAGAGAGAGACACTCAGACGAGCCAATCAACATTGAAAGAAACTTCCCAAATTACTCAATTTACAAGTCTGACAGAATATGCATCCTCATAGGGGTTTTTCGGCAGTTGATTTAGAATGTTAATCATTAATTCAGAAAAATTTTCAGCGAAGAACACAACTTATTTTGAATTGTGGAAACAAACGAAGAAGTTGATGCTTTAGATGCCAGAATTGAAAAATGGATGAATTAACCAGGCCCAACTTTAGGAATGTCGTAGTGCTCAGTTAGATTAGCCAGATACTGAATTGAATTCCTGGATCCTGTCACGGTGGCATTTGGAAGCCATCTTAGTCAATCGCTGGAGCTCAAGTTTCTGTGTCTGCTCTAAGTACTTCCGTTCAGCTGGAGTAAGATGGTAATCACACTTAGCAGCCCGGCCAGAAACATCTTTTTCGGTCTCAGCTAGATCATCTGCCGACATTCCTCAATGTCAGCCTAAGAAGCTCCAAAAAGGAAGGGACCACGCAAGTTAAGCATACTGCTCCTTTTATGATAACATACTGCTTGTAGGATTTGAGAGGTTAAATTTTAAAACTTACTAATTTAATTGTAAAATTTTTTTAGCTAAGGGTACTTAAAAACCACCATTAAAATAGCTGCTTTGATTCTTTGACACAACAAGATGAATTTGACACTAAGAAGACCTAATGTAATGACATTGATTGAACCTACGTAAAAATTATGATGGATAGCTGGTCTTGAATTAGCTATACATAACATTTCTTTCTTGATGACAATATTAGCACTGCAAATCATTCAACCATATACCTAATTTAAATTATAAAGAACTACGGCACACTCAAACCCAAAAAAAAAAAAGAAATAAAATGTTTAGTTAAATCATATCAGTCAATATTGGTTATTATCTATTTTTATACTTATTATCTGATTTTTTAATTATTTTTTTAACCTAGAGAAGAAAATAGAGCCGTAAAAAAAAAAATTAAATAGTATTAATTTTGATAGCAATTCAATTTTATTATAATTATTTAAAAAATAAATTTATAAATTAAAAAAACACTCGATACTTTATTAATAGAAAGAATATAAGTTTTACAACATTCATAAGACAAAATTTCATATTCCAAATCCGTTATGTATTAATTTGTTGAATATAATAAATCTCATTTATTATTTTCACCTCATGTCCTAAATGTTTAAGCCCATATAAAGCATTTTTCAACCGATAAACTTTATCTTCTTTATCTTTCTTTTCATAACCAGGTATTTGTTCAACAAACACTTCTTTTTCAAGTACACTATTTAAAAATGCTGACTTCACATCTATTTAATACATTTTTTAATAATTTTGGACAACAAGTGAAATAATCATACACACAGTATCCAATCTAGCAATAGGAGCAAATACTTCAAAGTATGATATATGTGACTTTTGCTTGTATCCTTTTGCAACGAGCCTCGCTTTAAACCATTCCACTTCTCTGTTAGCCTTCTATTTTGTTTTGTATACCCATTTAACTCCAATTGGTTTCTTTCCATTTGGTAGAGTAGTTAATTCTCATGTATTATTCTTCTCAATAGCAAAAATTTTTTTATCCATCACTTTAACCATCAATCATCATTAGACGCTTCTTCAAACACTATTGGATCACAATCTGCAAAGAAAGCATAATGAACAACATCTTCATCGTCATCGAAATCATTATTAACTTCATAATCTTTTAAATAAGTAAGTGAATAATGATCTCGTTCTGAAGGTCTTAATATAGGAGGAGATAAAGCTTCTGGAGCGATACCAGATGATTCTTCAGAAACTAGGGGAGAAGACTACTCACCAGTGTGATTACTTCTTTTTGTTTCATTGTTTATGAACACTGGAACTGATTGTGATCTCTTTTTTTCTTCAAACCATCCCCATACTCCATCTTCATCAAAAGTAACATCACAGCTAATAATTACCTTTTGGGTCTTTGGGTTGTACAGTTTGTAGACCTTTGTTTCCATGCTATAATCAATAAAAATGCATTTGTTTGCTTTTTCATCAAGTTTTTTCTTTAACTCATTTGGTACATGTGAATAAGCGATACAACTAAATACTCTCATATGACTTAAATTAGACTTTTGTCTGCTTCGTACTTCTAGTGGTGTTTTATCATGAACACATTTAACATGATATCTATTTAAAATATAAACTACACAAGCAATTGCTTCTGCCTAAAAACTCTTAGGTAACTTCTTACAATGCATTATGCTTCTCAACATAGCCATAACAGTTCTATTTTTTCGTCATACCACTCCATTTTGTTGAGAAATATATCTAACTGTTAATTGATGCTTAATTCCATGTTTCATCAAAAAATCATCACAAACAATATATTCTATGCCTTTGTTTGTTCTTAAAGTTTTGAGAAGGTAACCACTTTATCTTTCAATATATTGCACATACTTCTTAACTATTCCACATGCATCCGATTTATGCTTCAAAAAATATACTCATGCGTTTCTACTAAAATCATCAACGAAAATAATGAAGTATTTGTTACCTCTATTATAAGGAGCGTCCATGTAGCATAAGCCTGAATGCACAAGCTCAAGTGGGCTTTTGGCTCTCAATGCCTGCTTTGTAGGAAATGGATCTATGTGCTTCTTTCTTAAGACACAATGCTCATAAAGTTGGTCAGGAACTTGAATAGCTGGTAAGCCTGAAACCCACTCTTTATCTGTAAGAAATTTGATGCTCCTAAGGTTTAAGTACCCGAGCCGCATATATCATATAACCAATTATTATCGACAATAACAGAATTACAGTTAGAAACATCACCATAATTGATCTGCATTGAAAATAAATGATTAGATGACATCTTTACTTTTATGATCATTCCTTTTTTTGTGTCACTTACAGTGCACTCGTGTTTATTGAAACACAAATCATAATCTTTTTCTGCTAGTTGTCCCACGCTTAACAGATTTTGACACATAGTAGGAGCATAATAAACTTTAGAAATATCATCCGCAGACCTATTGTTTAGTTTATTGGCAATTCTTTCTTTTCCTAAAATTGAGATTTCATAGTTATCACCTAGTTTCACGGAAGAACGAAACGATTCACCTAACTCAAAGAATACTTCCTTATTTCCACTCAGATTATTGCTACTGACTAATAACCACTAACTATTGTTATTTCTATTACTATTATGAGCTATCATCAATAAAGTCCCTACACTATCATTTTGGGCTAACTCGACTTGATTTTCTCTATGTTCTGATCTCTTTGCACAACACTTTCTACTATAATGACCATATCTTTTGCAATTATGACATTGAATATATGATTTACACTCTAATTGATAGTGACTATATTTTTTTATATTTATGACATTTGATGCAAGACTTACCTTGAGAATATTCATTCTCTGTTGCACATTGTTTTGAAGTTATTCTGAAATTTCTTTATCTTTTACTTATGAGATTTGAGCATCTTTGACTATGTTGTGATTTAAGCGTCTCATCCTTTAAATTTAATTTAGCCTTTAAAACTTGTTCTATTGTGTTTGGAGATCTTTCATTCATCCACATCTCCCATGACTCTAATGAAGCTTGTAAATCATTAAGAGTCATGATGTCCAAATTTTTTGACTTTTCAATGGCTGTCATCGCATAATCAAATCGATTTGACAACGTACATAAGATCTTCTCCATGTCATCTCTCTCATTTATTTGATCTCCGTTTGGTTTTTTTTTCATTTATTAGCTTCTCCATTCATGAAAAATAATCACGAATACTTTCGTCTTTGCGTTATCCCATTAACTCGAATTGTCTTTTCAATCTTTGTAGTTGAATTCCTTTGACTGGATCTACACCTTCATATGTTTTGAATAAAATATTTCAAGTCTTTTTTGCTATTTTGGCATGAAATATTTTTTTTAGAACTGACAGCTCTACAGATTGATAAATTAAAAATAAAACTTTCTTATTTAACGAATAATCACAAACCAATTCTTATAGACCTGCTTCTAACGACTTTTCCTTTTCAACGAAATCATTATCTAAAATTTCACCATAACCATTGCTCTTCAAACACAGCTCCATTAAGTGCTTTCATATCACAAAATTATTTTTGCAAACAAACTTAAAAATTGATGACTACACTTGTTGAAATTGAATTCCTGTTATTGAACTAGAAATCATATTGATCAAACCTTACGCTATAATACCAGATGTTGACAATTTAATTTTGTTATAATTATTTAGATAATAAGTTTATAAATTAAAAAATGCTCAATACTTTATTAATAAAAAAATATAAATTTTACAATACTCACAAGATAAAATTCACACCTTAAACCCGTTATACATTAACTTATTGAAACTAATAAATTTTATTTATTTTTTTGCACCTCACATCACAAATGTTTTTCTTGTCCACAAATTTATCATTTCTCTTTTACCTAAACCTATTTATTTAAGTAAAAAAATTTATATTATCGTTTATTTTCTCTCTTTATTGTTGCCACTTCACCTTTGCCTCTCTTTATTATTGCCGCTTCACCTTCCTCTCTTTATTGTCAATTAAATGAAGTTTTAATTTTCAACATTGATTAAATTAAATTTAATTATCCAACAAATTTTCTTATTCAATTCAGAAGGATCACATTACTACTGGATAAAATGTGGGAGTAAGAGGAATCGATAAGTGATACTACTGGAAGAATTCCTCATTGGACAATAACTGATTTTCTGAAATTGCTTGGGATTTACACCTTTAATAATGTGAATCGCTACTATTAGTTACAATCAGAATATATCAATGCAACAGAATTTTCAGCACCTTCACTTTAGTTTTAATCGCTTAGAGCTGTCTATCAACTACAACTAGTCACAGACTTTTGCTGTAAAAACCAACTACAGCAGTGGATCCATTTGCTTCAGTTAAAAGCTTAATTTCCAAGCGATCGGAACCCAAAAACGAACCTCTTTTTACACATATCAAAACCCGTGTATGATTTCTCTATGTCTCGTTAACAAAATCGTGATATGAAAGAAATTTCAATACTTTGGTTCTAGAGATTTTAGGAGGAACTGTGCTCTTAATGCTCAACTCGAGTTCAATAATATGTCATGACCTGAAACAAGCATTTCAGAAACAAAAGCGAACAAGAAGCACATTAGCAGGGGAGAACATGAGAAAACCAACCTGTCGAAAGAGGAGAATGGTGGTGCCTGTGCTTCTTTTTCTTCTTTTTAATGCCATCTGTCTTCACTTCCAGCGCTTTCCCCTTCAGCCTCAGCTTGCCCACTATCACATTCTCGTATGAAGACATCTGTTCTTCTTCGCATCACAACGTTAAGCACAGAAGTAAGAGCAGATTCAGCTCCAATTAATTTAGATGAGAAAGAAAAGAGACTATGAATTTGGTCTATGGATGATACTGCTCACCTTTCTCCGTAGGTTCTAGAATCAACCCACGAGCTCCGGATGATCATGGAAACAAGTCCTGGCATTAAATAGATATATTGTAGATTAAACGATGCCGTTTCACTTGCATTGGCTCATTTAGCTGCATTCTTACAGCTCGACACCCTTAAAGGCGAGAAGTCAACTAACTTAGAGGTTAATAAAGAGCCACGTCACAGCTACAATCCCAGCCACGTGTCAGCTCATGAATTGCTTAACTTATCTTTTTGCATTACTCTCAACTATGCGCCATATGGCTTCTTTCTGTCCCTCACCCGCTCATCCTACGCTGCAAAAACTCATACATCCATCCAAATCCACTTCACTGCTTAAAGATTCACTCGTAGTTGGCTTCTCAATCATGAATTCCCGTTCAATATCCAACCCTAAATCGGCTTCTTCCTCAATAGTTTATCAGGTACCGGCGCTAAATGCCAATGAAATGGACAGCATTGCAGACAAAACCTTCGAAAGGTACACCTCAAAGACAGTGAAGAGGAGGGGTAAAGGAGTCGCCATTGTTTGGTTTAGAAACGATTTGAGAATACTCGACAATGAGTCACTGTTCAATGCTTGGGTTTCTTCTGACTCGGTTTTGCCGGTTTACTGCGTTGATCCTCGTAATTTCGAGAATACGCATTACTTTGGCTTCCCGAAAACTGGAGGTATTATATCCTCGAATTAGATTTTTTTTTTCTTGTGAATCAAGTGATCCAGTTATATATGTAATCTTCATGGCTTGAGACTGATTAATCTACTTTGACGGCCTGTAAATGTTTGCTTATATTTATATTGGCAGCTCTGAGAGCTCAATTTCTTATGGAATGCTTGTCTGACTTGAAGAGGAATCTGATAAAGAGAGGGCTTAACCTACTTATTCGACATGGGAAACCCGAGGAAATTCTCCCTTCTCTTGCAAATGCTTTTGGAGCTCATACAGTTAAGTTGATAGTTCACGTCGTTAGTTCGATTAAGTTCCCAAACACCCATACACACACGCACACAAACAAATACATTCATTATGTCTCTCCAAGTTAATAATCAATCTAACATAATCAGGTATATGCCCATAAAGAAACCTGTAGTGAAGAGCTACATGTTGAAAAATTGGTCCGCAAAAGTTTGCGGGGAGTTAAGCTACCATCTTCCCAGAAATCCACTGGCCAGAGTTCTACAGACAGTACTAAGCTACAACTAGTTTGGGGCAGCACCATGTATCACATAAATGATCTCCCATTCAGTGCCGTTGAATTGCCAGATGTGTATACCCAATTTCGTAAGGCATGACTTAGAATTCATTATGCTACTTCTTGGGTCTTCGCAAGAAGCTTATATGTATGTGGTAATCGTATTTGTTCATGAGACTGCTGGAACTTGCAGTCTGTGGAATCCAAGTGTAAAATCAGAGGTTGTGTTAAGATTCCAATATCTCTTGGGCCAACATCTAGCATTGATGATTGGGGATGTGTTCCTTCACTTGAGCAACTTGGACTTCACCAGCTAAAGGCATGCTTAATTATTTGGACAAATCTTGAATAAAAAATCAAGTAGTTAATTTTTTTTATATGTTCATCTTTTAATGTTGATCCAGGTTAGCAAGGGGTTAAGATTTGTAGGTGGTGAAACAGCTGCACTCAGCAGGGTGATCGAGTACTTCTGGAATGAGGCAAGAGAAGCTCTATTGTTATATTTCTATAAATGTCTTTTTTTTCATTGTTAATGTGAAACTGCAAAGGAATCCTTACACAACTTCTCAGCAATCATAGGAGAAATAAATGAAGTTAATCAATTTAACAACGGCAAAGTCTGTAAGATTTAACACTAGTGGAATTCACATTAGTTCAGTGCTATTTGCATGAAGCTAACAGAGACTGGGGTTATATGTGATATTTATGTAGGACTTAATAAGGATATATAAAGAGACAAGGAATGGGATGTTGGGAGCTGATTACTCAACTAAGTTCTCGCCCTGGCTTGCTTCAGGAAGTCTTTCACCATGTTATGTTTATGAGGAGGTTGAAACTATTTGTGAGAATTCCTAGTGCATTGCACACTTACATTGCAGATTTGAGCCATGCTAATCTTGTGTTGACTTTCTGATATTTTTCAGGTGAAAAGATATGAAAGGGAGAGGCAAGCAAATGATTCAACATACTGGTACTTATTTGTGCAAAGACAGTTTTGCTTGTGTTGTTGTGTATGCATCCAAGCATGAGACACGGTCACAAATGCAGATTCCATGTTTATACTTCACACTGCTTTCTCTTTCAATGTCCTTTCAAGTGTAGATTTGACTTTCTCCATCGATCTGTTGATAAAATTAATTGTTCAGCTTTTGAACAAGTCCAAGGATAGATATCTGTTAGTGATTTGAATACATCTATTTTATTAGGATTAGTTATCTGTTTTCCTATTCTTTTACCACGTTAGTAAATGTGTAAAACGAGGCTGCGATTTGATTTCTTTTGTAAGGCTATATATATAGCTAAGTCAATATCTTAATGGTAGTATGCTCTCTCTAGTTTCTAGTTTACTTGTGTTAAGCAAAAAACTATTTTAACACTTGGTATAAGAGCCACGTCATAGTGGCTTAATTGAAATTAAGAAGCAGCAGTTTTCTTAGAGTTCAGCAAAGAAAATATGACAATAGAGGTTGGATTTGTGCAACCAGCAATACCAAAACTTGATGGATATTATGATCACTGGTGTATGCTTGTGGAGAATTTCCTAAGATCAAAGGAATATTGGAGTATTGTGGACGTTGAAATTCCTACAACAGCAGAAGGAGTTCAACTCACTGAAGCACAAAAAAAGGTAATTGATGATGCAAAGTTAAAAGATTTGAAAGCAAATAATTATCTCTTCCAGGCCATAGATCGATCAATCTTGGAAACTATTTTAAACAAAGATGCATTCAAAAGCATTTGGGATTCTTTCAAGTAGAAATATCAAGGGACAGCACGGGTTCAACGAGCACAGCGACAGGCTCTTTAGAAGGAGTTTGAGATGCTGAATATAAAGGAGAGAGAATCTGTAAATGAGAATTTTGCTTGTACTCTTACTGTGGTTAACAAGCTGAGAGCTAATAAAAGGAATATGGATGATGTAACTGTCATTGAAAAGATTGAGATTTATGACATCCAAATATGATTATGTGGCGTGCTCTATTGCAGAATCAAAAGATTTGAATGCCCTTACTATTGACGAGTTACAAAATAGTCTTTCAATGCATAAGCAACGTTTATAGGTTCATATTATGGAAGAGCAGGCATTGAAGGTCATTGTTGGAGAGTCTTCAAGAGAAAGAGGACGAGGCCGAGGCCATGGTGGAATGCGAGGTTTTGAAAGAGGAGGAGGCAAGCGCAATTTCAGAAAAGCCACTATTGAATGTTATAACTGGCATAAACTTGGACATTTTCAGTATGAATGCCCAAAAAAGGAGATAGAAGCAAGAGCAAACTATATGGAAGATAGTGAAGAGATGTTGTTAATGGTGTACACAAACGATAAAGAAGTCAGCAAAGAAGAACTATGGTTTCTTGATTCTGGATGTCGTAATCACATGTATGGCAAGGAGTTTTTATCAGATTTTAATGAAAATTTCAGAGAGAAAGTGAAACTAGGAGATAACTCGAGTATGGACGTGATGCGTAAAGGTAATGTGCGAATGTTGGTAAAAGGTCTTGTACAAATCATTACAGGTGTATTTTACGTTTCCGGATTAAAAAACAACCTGATAAGCATTGGTCAATTAGTCGAGAAGGGACTTGCAATCTTTATATAGCAAGAAACATGCAAAATCTATCATCTAGAGAAAGGTTTGATTATAGAGGTCAAAATTTCTTCAAACCGAATGTTCAAGTTGTTTGCTCAAATACAATTGAAGGAGGAAGCTTGTTTCAATTCTTTCACAGAAGATCTAGCTCAACTTTGGCAATATAGATGTACCCATCTAAGCTTCAATGGTGTGAAACTTCTCTAAAAAAAGGGAATGGTGAGAGGACTCCCTTGCTTTGAAACTCCTGTGAATACATTTAGGGATTGCTTGGTGGGAAAACAACACAGAGATTCATTTCCCAAGGAAGACACTTTAAGAGCTTCTCAAATCGTGAACTGGTGCATACTGATATATATGGGTCAATCAGTCCTACGTGTAATAGCAACAAAAGGTAGATGATCAGTTTTATTGATGACTATAGTCGTAAAATTTAGGTTTATTCTTTAAGTGAGAAATAAGAAATTATTATTATTTTCAAGAAATGTAAGATTCATGTTGAAAAAGAGACAAATTTAACCATAAAGTGTCTTTGTACTGATCATGGGGATGAGTTCACCTCACTTGAACTCACTAACTTTTGCAATGAGAATGATATCCGAAGACAACTAACAGCTGCATACAGTCCTCAACAGAACGGTATCGTGGAGAGAAAGAATTGAACTATCATGAATACGGTTCGAAGTATGCTATCAGAAAAGAAGATTCCCAAAACTTTTTGGCCAGAAACTGTAAACTAGTCAGTTCATATTCTCAATAGAAGTCCAACTCTTGCAGTGAAAAACAGAACTACAGAAGAAACTTGAAGTGGATCCAAGCCATCTGTAGATCATTTCAGGGTGTTCCGATACGTATGTCATGTCTATATTCTGGATTGTAAAAGGACTAAATTTGATGACAAGAGTGTAAGATACATTTTTCTTGGAGTCAGTGAGGAGTCAAAGGCATGTAGGCTATATGATCCTGTTTCTACAAAAGTTATAATAAGTAGAGATGGGAATGAAGCTGAAAATAATGGCTGCATCAACATTGAGGAACCTGAATTTATAAATGAATTAAATGAAGGTAATTTATCTAGTTTGGTGAAGGATCTTCACTTGAGACTTGCCAACGCAGGTTAAGAAGCCAACGAAATTGGATGGATGATTATGTAAGTGGAGAAGGTTTATTTGAGGAAGAAGACATGGCATATTCAGCTATGTTTGCAATGAATGATCAAATTCTCTTCGAAGAGGCGATAAAAGAAGCGTATTGAAGAGTAGCGATGGATATGGAAATTGAAGTAATAACAAAAAATAATACTTGGTAATTGACGAATTTACATACTGGGACAAAAATAGTTGGTGTGAAATGGGTGTATAAAACGAAGCTTAATGAAAATGGAGAAGTGGAGAAGTACAAAGCTCGTTTGGTTGCAAAGAGCTACAGTCAAAAGTATGCGTGGATTATGGAAAAGTTTTTGCACTTGTAACATGTTTGGAGACAGTTCGAATAGTAATTTCTCTTATAGCTCAGAAATGGTGGATAATTTTTTAGATAAATGTAAAGTCTGCTTTTTTCCATAGCAAAATTAGTGAGGGAATTTTTGTTGAGCAACCTCCTAATTATGAGAAGAAGGGTGATGAACATAAAGTATATAAATCAAAGAAAGCTTTATACAGACTAAAGCAAGCTTCACGAGCTTGGTATAATCGAATAGAGTCATATTTTACTGAGGAAGATTTCGAACGATGCCCCTACGAGCATACTCTATTCATCAAAAAAAGAGAATGAGATAAAATTTTAATTACTTGTCTCTATGTTGATGACTTGATATTTACAGGCAATGATGAGCATATGTTTCTGAAATTCAAGTCATCAATGATGCATGAATTCGACATGACGAATCTAGGAAAAATTATGTATTTCCTTGGCATAGAAGTGTTGCAG